AAAAAAATTTTAACAAAGCAAAATATAATTTTTTCAACTTACTCAATGTTTGAACAGAAATTCTCAAACAAATTATGAAGATATTAGGAAGAAAGTACGATGATTGAATTACTTTTGAAGTAATTTTTAAAATATCCTTCGATCAATTGATTTTCTCAGAAAATAAAAGATAAATACATCTTTAACAAATAGATTATTTCGTTATCTTATTATCAACACACCTTGCAAACTCGTCCAGCATCACAGTGTTTATCCATGCACGGATCCAAACGGAGCAAACTCTGACGCTTCGATCCAACCTCGTTTCTGCCATCTTCGACGGTGACCTCAGCATCCTCCGCTGCCTCCTCGGCTATTTCATCAGCCTCAAGCATGTTCATGACCTCATCTTGAATACTGGCTTCCGTCGTGGTCGTGCGACGACGATGTTTCCTTCGTCGCTAAAAATCAATAATAATATCGATTATAATCGTGCACAATGATTAATTTGCATCCCAATATATTCCAATAAAATAATTATTATTTCCCGTTAACACGGCAAACTGACAAAGTCGAATCGAATAAAAATTTAACCGTCATTCTGAGTAGAATGAGAGAGGAAAAAAAAAATGGAGGACCTTGAATTATCCGATACATATTATTATGCATTATTATTTGAATAAATGTTTTTATCAAGTGACGTAATCATTCACTGCTTTAATAATTCATATATCTACACAGTGCGATGTTGTATATTTATTTTACGATTAACTTACCTGTTGTTGAGCCGAGACGTCCACCAAAAGGGCCACTAATAGCAACGCAAATAAGAGGAGTTCCACTTTCGTCCGCATTGCGATCTCTGCGACAAAGAATCGATCGAATTTAAATATGCGTGCGTATGTAAATTTTAAATAACATTAATATACATTTGAAACAAAATATTTCTTATTCCTTTTATTTATTTATTTTTTTTCTTTTTCTTTTTCAAATGTACTCGTACAAAGTGATGAGTACAACAATCGAATAAGTTGGCTTCTGTTATTTCGTCGTTTTATAAACTTCGCCCGTGATGGGAGGAATTATTGTTCTAATACTCGTACATACAATCAGAGCTCTCAATTGAAGATCGTTCGTCTAGAATGTACGATGGCTTAATTTCGAAAATTCCCAATAA